TTGTCCATCTCTGGAATTTCCAGCTTGATGCTGATGTGGCTGCTAACTTAAGGAAGGACATGTGTCCCTGGAATTAAGGAACTTTTTTTAACATCGCTGCTGAACATGATGGGGCTGAGTCCCTTACATGCAGGCATGGTGCCCTTACTGCTGGGGAGGGTGGTGTGAGCCAACCTTGGGAGGGCAAATGCGAAGAGACCATAACACAGCCAATCCCTGTTTGCTCGGATTTCCCTTTTGTATGTTCTTTGCCAACTTGGCCTGTTCTGTTTTCCTAGTTCTTGATGCTGTTTGTGTAACTGTGTGACCCAAACTTTCTAGTTTGCTGGTAACAAGCAGAGCATGGGGAAGCTCCTCACCCCTATGCTTCATTCTTCGTTACAGCAGAAAATCCATTTCCTGATTTTATTGGTTAGGATTTTTACAGTTTTCTATCTTACTTAGGGTTTGTTTTATTCTCCTTCAGTTCAACTGTGTCCTTTACAGTTAATGCTCCCCTCCTGCCTACCCTTACACTGTCTGCCCAGAGGATTAGTTTGTGCTTCAATGCCAGGTGCTTCCACCCAGACCGTACTTGTGTGGGGCATTGTGCATTCACGTAGTGAGGCAATAGCCTGTTGTCAGACAGCCTGCAGTTAAACGAGGTGAAAAAAAGCACTGTCCCAGATAGGAGAGAGGGAGGACATCATGGCTGTACAGGGCTGCTTCAGCCAGTCCTGATGGCACAGTAGTAAAAAGGCCACCTAGTTTCTGGTGTCAGTATTTCTGCTCAGCACTGTGACAGTCCAACCTACAGCCATACCACAACCCCTCTCCATCCAGCTGGGAGCAGAGGTTTGTTCAGGAGCAGTGAGCAGAGCTTGGCAACCACACTGAGCCGAATACATCCCTCCTGAAGACATCTCCCCCTTCCCTGTTTTGCTGTTGCAAGGCCTGGTCTGCATGTGGGATGTTCGTGGCTCTCTGCTGCCCTCTCCTTGGGAAAAGGGTGGTAGGACATGGAGGCAGCCAGACATCCTGCAAAGCATACCCGGTGGTGTGGAGGATGCACACCCTTTGCAATGAAAGGGTAAGAGAAAGGACCCTACCATCCACTAGTATGACAGGGTATCTCCCTGCACCGTTTTTAAAAGGCATTTTCCTCTGGTAGTACTCGTTTTCATGATGAGAGAGGAGTTCCAACACTAATTCTTCTTTGAAAACAAAATATCCACAGACACTGCTGAAAGACAAAGCTCTCTGGGACCTGCACTTGACAGTTTCTAACTGGACAGTGGAGGATGTTGCCCGTTTCCTGTCAAACCATCCAGAGGACTTTGAGACAGCAAATGGCTCTGTGTATACCTGGGTGGACGCCTTCAATGAGACAGACCGGGCTGTCCAGACCATCTCCCATTTCATGGAGGTGAGATCCTGCTAGTGTGGGCAAGGAGCTGGGGAAGTGCAGCAACCTGGTCTCCACTTGTGCTGTGGGGTGCTTCTGGAAAGGGAAGATGGATGTTCCTCAGCCCATTTTCTGTAAACAGCCAGGCTGTAGTAGGGCTGAGTGTGCAGCATATTGGAAAAACATAATTTATTCCGGTTCCTAAACATAGATGTAAGAACCTAACTGTAGGCTTTGTTCTTGAAGCTCTCACTTTAACCATTGCATGTGGTTTCCCACCCTGTTGTTACTGGGCAACTGAGAGCTGCCACTTGCTTTGAAGTATGTAACAGCTCGTATTTCAGTCTGGGGTTTTAGCTGGAGCCTGCAGGGATGCTGGCAGCTGCTTTAAACTGAGGAAGACATTATGAAAAATTAAATTTTTCTACTTTTTACTTGGCCATCTTGGCAGATGGGTGCAAACAGCAAGAAGGCTTGGCCTGACTGGAGCCTTGTCCAAAGCCTTCGAATCTCTCTGCTGATTTTTAGGGGGCTTGAAAGAGACCTAGTTTATTGGTAACAGAGACAACAAGACTGTCTATGGAAATTGATGCTTGGATGGGATCCTGTAGCTAACAGTACAGTGCTACCTAACTTCTTACCCAGAAAATACCTTTGCTGGGGTGTTTCTCAGTATATGACTGGCAGGTGATCATCAAGCAGGAAAAAAATGACATCTTAAGCAACTTGCTGGGCTGCTGTGAGCCATTGCAAAGTAGTCCAGTGCTACAGCCTTTTCTTGGGCATGACATTATTATTGCAGAGTTCTCTCTTTTTCTCTCCCCCAAACATAAACGAAGTACGTTCTGGTTTGGTAACTTATCCCATGAACGCTTCCAAATCTGTCCCTGTCTAGTGTGTCAACTTGGACAAACTGGAGCCTGTGGCTACAGAAGTCCGGCTTATAAACAAATCCTTGGAGCTTCTGGATGAAAGGAGGTTCTGGGCTGGCATAGTCTTCACTGAAATAGCTCCTAACAGCATAGACCTCCCTCAACATGTGAAATACAAGATACGCATGGATATTGATAATGTGGAAAGGACCAACAAGATCAAGGATGGGTGAGTCCTGACATGCTGCTGTATGAACAATTTATTATGGGGGTTGTGGTGGTGATAAGGATTTCTAATGGAAAGGTCTTATGCCCTTGGTGCAGATACTGGGATCCTGGTCCCCGTGCTGACCCCTTTGAGGACATGCGCTATGTTTGGGGAGGCTTTGCCTACCTGCAGGATGTGGTGGAACAGGCCATCATCAGGGTGCAGACAGGCACGGAGAAGAAGACAGGAGTTTATGTGCAGCAGATGCCCTACCCATGTTACGTTGATGACATGTATGTATGCACACTGCTTTGGAAACTTCCAGAAGTATTGTGGCTTGGGAGGCATGGGCTTTTGTCCTTCCTCAGGCATAGTTTATGTCCTGGCTGTCAGTGAGGGAGCAATTTCTTTAGTGTTCCTAATCCCTGGAATTAGGGCACCTGCAGGGAGGATTTAGAATACGTAACGACTTGCAGAGTCCTGCCCAGGAGAAGGACTGTCTGTTCAGGACTTTCACATACAGAGAGCATTCCTGAGACATGCCCATATCCCCAAACCCGATATGGGCAAAAATCGCACTGGGAAAAAAGCAGACACCTATGCATGGGAGAGTTAGAAAGGGGACAGCTGAGAATAGTCCCCAGGAAAGGCAGGTCTTTGCACCTGCTGTTCTATGGAGCGACAGTTGCAACTCCAGCTCCCATTCCAGGTGGTGCCATCAGCCTCGCTTCATGGTGAGACATTGATGCAGGGTCATGCTGTGCACATGGGCTGCTTTGTGCAGTGAAGCCTTAGCTGTCACCATGCTCTGCTAGCTCTTGAGCGGTACCTGAAATTGCATTGATTTTCTCACTTTGTTCTCTTGGCTCCTATGCTTTCCTCTTAGTTTTCTGCGTGTCATGAGCCGCTCCATGCCTCTCTTCATGACTCTAGCCTGGATCTACTCAGTGGCTGTGATAATAAAGGGCATAGTGTATGAGAAGGAAGTCCGGCTGAAGGAGACAATGAGGATTATGGGTCTTGACAATGGCATCCTTTGGCTAAGCTGGTTCATTAGCAGCCTGATCCCTCTGCTGATGAGTGCAGGACTGCTGGTGCTGATCCTTAAGGTGAGTTGACTGGTTTGGTCTGTGGCAGCAGAATTTAGAGTCTTGAGAGCCTGCTAAGCAGTGGTCTGCACTGGCACACCGATTAGGAGTTAAGGTTGACCAGCAGCTTTTTGGGAACAGTGTTTTGGAACAGAACAGGGCTCAGTGGTTGAAAACAGTGGGAGGGGCTGTAGTAGTTTAAGTGCTATTGAAAAGGTGCTTCTGGTACTGCACCATTTCTGGGAAGGCTATTGTGTAAATTGCAGCAAGCCCAGTCTCTCCTGGAGCAGCAGCTCTATGTACCTACTTGTAGTAGAGCCACCTTGGAAAGCCCTTTCAAAGCCTGATGGACCTGTTGTTCTCTTGCCAGATGGGGAATCTGCTGCCTTACAGTGACCCTAGCGTGGTGTTTGTTTTCCTCTCGATCTTTGGTGTCGTGACCATCCTCCAGTGCTTCCTCATCAGCACCGTGTTCTCCAGGGCCAACCTGGCAGCTGCCTGTGGGGGCATTGTGTATTTCACGCTGTACCTGCCTTATGTGCTATGTGTTGCCTGGCAGGACTATGTCAGCTTCTCCCTCAAGATCTTTGCGGTGAGTCTTGAGAAAACTCCTCTGGGTACTGGGCCTCCACCAGTATGGCGCTCAGCAGCTCACTAGCTGGACACTGATAATGAGGAGGAGAGGTGGCAACGTCAGGATAATTTTCCAGTGTAGGGGTCTATTAGGGCCGGGCTTGGTGAAGAGGTTGAGCGAGCCCACTAGGAGCTGCTGGGAAGGTTTTCTTGGTCTTGGTAGTAGAAGTTATTCGGCCAGACTAAGCTGCCTTGATCCCTGTAAGCAGTGATGCTATACCACCAGATACTCATGCTGAAGGAACCAGCTGCCTTTCCTCTCCATAGCACTTCTTACCTGTCGGGTGAGGGTGGCTGTTAGTAATCTCTTCCCTCACGTAAAAGTACAAAGAGCAAGGGAAAGAAAATAGGTAAATAAACAATTCTGGTTGGTGGTCCAGCAGAGACTTCAGGTCTTGTCTGCTTTCTGGAACCAAGACTGAATCTGCCACTCCCCTCTCTGCAAATATGGTTGCACTCCTTGGACCTCTGACTTACCCTATAAGGCTTCTGGACCATGTCCCTTAGCCTAGTGCTAGAGCTGAGCTGCTCGGTTGGAGGGTAGTTGTTGAAAACTGAATGCATGTTCATGCCTTCCATTTGCAGAGCCTGCTGTCTCCTGTAGCCTTTGGCTTTGGTTGTGAATACTTTGCACTGTTTGAGGAGCAGGGAGTTGGTGTTCAGTGGGATAACTTCTTTGAGAGCCCATTGGAAGAAGATGGCTTTAGCATCACCACTTCTGCTGTCATGATGTTGTTTGACACCTTCCTGTATGGGGTCATGACCTGGTACATTGAGTCTGTCTTCCCAGGTGAGGTCTGCTTCTGAGAGGGGATCGTGTCTTCACACTTCTAAATGGATCCTTTCATCCTACTCATTTGCCAGGATGCAAATTGACCCCATTTTTAAGCAGAGCTGTGGAAAGGTCATAGAGGAGAACCACAGACCAGCATCACAGTAAGGTTGTTGCTGCTCATAGCAGTGACTCTTGCCCAGTACAGAGGTCGTGCCCCATTGTGCTGATGGCTGAGCTAGTCCCAGAAGCTTTGCTACACTTCAGCTGTTCCCTTCTCTGAACTGCTCAGTCCACAGACCCTGCTGCACGGGAGGTGTTGAGACTATCAGCACCCCATGTGGCTGTGTAGCACTTCCCAACACAGGACTTTTACCTTAAAGTGAAGTTTGGGGAAAGAGCTGTCCCTTACCCCTCCAAAGTCTGTAATGCCATCATCAAGAAAGATCTCTTCTTAGTTCTGCCTAACCTAGAGGCTAACTGGGAGTGGAGTACTTCACTTCTTGTCCTGAAAGCTAGTATGAAAAAAGGGACAGATGCAGTCAGGCTCATATAATGCTTTTCTCTTCAGGCCAGTATGGGATTCCCAGGCCCTGGTACTTCCCTTTCACGAAATCCTATTGGTTTGGCGAGGAACCACAGGACAGGCAGCACCTTCATCCTGACCAGAAGGGGCCTTCAGAAGGTAAGCGCTGGACACAGAGCCTTTCTACATTGAAGTGTTATGGTCTGCCTTTTTGAAAAGAGAGTCCAAGGATACCGAGACTGGCATGGTTAAGGTGACATTGGTCATCCCTTTGTTATCACAGTTTGGGTATGCCGATCAGGTGGGCGTATCCAGATAAGCCCATGGTACTTTGCCCACTTTGGTACTCCAGCCTCATGAAGTTGAGAATTCCTCCCATTTTTGCCAACCCTGGTGACGGTGAAGGTCTCCCAACTCTCAGACAAGCCCAGTAGAGAGATAAAGGACAGCTTCTGTGGAAGGTTCCTATACCTGAGGCAGAAATGTCATCAGTTCTTCTTATAGCTCATTTCTCCTTGGATCTCCACAGACTTGGGCGAATGTGATGTTTGTTAGAACAGAATTTGCTGTTAAAACCTATCATCTCTCTCTTTACTTTGCTATGTTTTCTTCCAGTCTGCAAGGAAGAAGAGCCTATGCATCTCAGCCTTGGTGTTTGCATCCAGAACCTGGTCAAGGTTTATCGTGATGGCGAGAAAGTTGCTGTGGATGGTCTCACACTGAATTTCTATGAAGGACAAATCACCTCCTTTCTGGGACATAATGGAGCAGGGAAAACCACTACCATGTAAGAACAAAAGAACACTTTAAGACAGTGGGGAAGTGACTGAACACCGCAATTCCTACCAGCGTGATAGAGGTAGCTGTACAACTGCACTGTGCAAGCTAGTGCAGACCAGGGTGCTGCACTGATCTCATTGATTTCAGTGGTTGTACAGCTGCCTCAGAAGATGCACAGATACAGGGATATGAAACTGGAAGTACTTCAGGTTTAGGCTGTGCCGAATTAATCTGCTGGCAGTATTTTTCAGTAATGCAGTTTGGGATTCTGACTTACCAGCAAAGGAAACACATTGAGACTGAAAGGATGAGAAGCTTTTAAGGGAAAAAAAATCTTTCCTTCAAGCAGAGTCATGTGGGTGTGCCTTGATCACCGTTAAAGCCATTGGAGTTGTGGTTTGGGGGTTTTTAATCCATTAATGAGATACTTCAGGAAAGTAGTCTGAGAAACGACTGTTCCCCAGGACTCCCCACGCACTCTTCATCCATCCATCCTGGCATGTGCAGCAGCCATTTCCTAGCGGTGGAACCTGCTTATCTGTTGTTTTTTTTCCTTCAGGTCCATTTTGACTGGCTTGTTCCCCCCAACCTCGGGTACAGCCTTCATCCTGGGCAAAGATATCCGCTTTGAGCTCAGCACCATCAGGCAGAACCTGGGTGTCTGCCCACAACACAATGTTCTGTTTGACTTGTGAGTATCATCTGTGAGATGCAGGGCTGGTGTTACCCAACAGACATTTGCGTTCTTTAGGAGGCAGTGTGTTTTCAGCAAGGATATTCCTTGTCTTTGTCAGTGTGCATGATGTGAGACAGCGGGGTGGTTGGAGGTTGCTGCGAGGGTATTCTTTTTATTAGCAGGTTTGTACATGCCTGAGAGTTACCAGCAAGAGGCTACGCTTTCATCTTTCACCCCACTTGAAAGACGTCTACTCCATTAAACTTAACCAGGCCAAATGCTTCCCCAGTGACTAGTGATCTGGGATGTTTGGGGTACTCTGTCAGACACCTTAAAGGATGTTTATTTACATTGGTACTGAATAGCCACACACTGAAATCAGGCCCAAGCTGAGCACACCCAGTCTGTACCTCCTTCCTGAAATCTCTAAAAGATGTTTTCCTGAGCGAACAAACATGCCTCCTGTAATGCTAATGCGAGGGATGAATCCCAGGATGGTGCTCTCAGCTGTGCCCTGAGCCTGCTCCTGTTCCCTAGGCTGACTGTGGAGGAGCACATCTGGTTCTACGCTCGGCTTAAAGGGCTGCCAGAAAAGAAGGTGAAAGAGGAGATGGAGCAGATGGCAGTGGATGTCGGTTTGCCTCACAAACTGAAAGCTAGGACAAGCAAACTCTCTGGTAGGTTCAGCTGCTCTTCCATTTCTCAGCTGCTTTCTCAGCCCCGGAAAAGCTCGCTTGGGTTTCTCAGAGGCTGCATCATCGACCTTGGTTGGATCCTCCGATAAAATGTAGACCTATCACACAGTTAAGTGCTTCAGGAAATCTGTTATTTATTAAGTACCTAATCAGCATATCATAGTAAACGTAACAGTCTTACACTGTTTTATGCTACTAATGGCCATAATAAGTAATTGACTTTCTCTGAGTATTTTGTACTTGTTTCTATCACAACATTGTCTAGCTGCATGTGATATGTGTTCTCCAAACGCTTACTAATATGTTTGGGTTTTATGAGTTTAGCTGAGAGTGTCTCAGACCATAATCTCCAAGTCCCTTGCTGTTTGTGAATCCTAAGTGCGTTTCTTATGCCAGCTTCTGCATCTTTAGTTAGTGTCCTGGAGTGTTGTTCACCTTGGTTCAGGAAGAGCAGGATTCCTGTATCAGTCTATACCAGTTAGTTGAGGGACCAAGACTCCTTTGTTTCTGACTCAGTTATCAGCACAGAGTGTACGTTTGACCTTGGGAAGGGAGGGCAGATGGCCACAGGTTGGCATTAGTGTTGAAGAGTGTAATACAATGCCTTGCTGCTGCCTCTGGCACACTTCCACAGGAGAGGCGTCTCTTGAGGACCTGTTTCTGCAGCTCAGGCTCTCGAGACCTGTGCTTCAGATCCTCAAGTATGGTTAGGCATCCATGCTGGCAACTTGCTAGTGCTGCTCTTGAGTTATTATGATTCACTTTCGGAAGGCCTTGCAAGATGTGGTTTCCTGCAGTAGGAGGAGAGTTGGACTTCACTGAAGGAAGACCATCAGATGAGTTACCCCATCGTGAACGTGGTGGGACCCTGAAGGCCTGAAACAGTAGCAGTGCTTGGTCTTCTGAGTATGCAGTTCTGCTTTCTCTTGGAGAACTCATTATCCAGTATGCTGCAGCTATTGCTATTCCCCTCATCTCTGCATCAACCTGAACTTGACCTTCTTGTGCCTGTCAGGTGGCATGCAGAGGAAGCTCTCAGTTGCCTTAGCCTTTGTTGGTGGCTCCAAGGTTGTCATTCTGGATGAGCCTACAGCTGGAGTGGATCCTTATTCTCGCAGAGGGATATGGGAATTGCTTCTAAAGTATCGGCAAGGTATGTGGTCTTTTTCTCTACTCGTAATGAATGTGTTGTGGAAAGCAAAAGAAAAATCAGTCTGATTCATGAGTGTTTCCAGAATTATCAACGTGTCTTTGCAAATCTGTTGTTGCTTGCACTGAGGAGGGAACAAAAAGCATGCAGGGCAAGGATTTGCAGATCTCTCATCTGTCCATTCTCATCCTATTCATGTCAGAGCTCATGAACATAGAACTTCACTGGGTTAAGAGGGCAATTAAAGTCAGAAACTCACCCTTGGTGTGCAGCGGTGTCTTGTTCTGCTCTGTGCAATCAGCCTTGCGATACGAAATTAACCTGCCGTTGCTGAGCATGACACGAGCCTGTAGAGAGTGGGGAGAATAAACCCATGGCAGTAGCTGTGAACCTTTTCCATACTGCTGGTCTCATTCAAGAAGCCTTGACTCTTGGCATCAACCTCCCATTCAACTCCATGGCAAGATCCAGATGATTGTGGCTTTGGCTTGGGAACATGGGTATGGGTGACTTACCAGCAGTGTCTTCCCTTGCTTTCTTCCAGGCCGCACTATCATTCTCTCCACGCACCACATGGATGAGGCAGACATTCTGGGGGACCGGATTGCCATTATTTCTCATGGGAAGCTCTGCTGTGTTGGCTCTTCTCTATTCCTAAAGAACCAGCTGGGAACAGGCTATTATTTGACACTGGTCAAGAAGGATGTAGATTCCTCTCTAAGCTCCTGCCGAAACAGCAGCAGCACAGTGTCCTATCTGAAAAAGGTACAGCTGACCCTTCCTGCTCATATTCATTCTTCCTGCTTGAAATCTCAGGCTTTATGGGAAGCAGCAGCTAAGATTTTACATGGTAGAATGTCTCAAAGAGACATTCTTTAAGATGCCTTATTCTTTAAGATAAGTGTTACTTGCTTTTGTAAGTACTATGCCAGATGGCGAATGGTTAAACTGTTGCATGGGACCTACATCTCCATCATAGTTTCTTTTAGTGCTGGCATATCGAAGAGATACAGAATAAATTGAAGTGCACACTTTTGCAACACTAACTTGTGTAATTATGACCTCTTACTTGTATTTCAGCCCTTTGCAGTGGTATGTCACCATTACTTTCTGACTCCTCTGTGGAGGACCCAGCATATTGCAGCATCTGGTTGGAGTTACCTAGAGTGTAGCATCTGGTGGGCCCCTTTCTGATGAAACAGGAGGAAACAATGTTTGTCTTCTCTTTTGTGACTAGGATGACAGTGTCTCCCAGAGCAGCTCTGACGCTGGCCTTGGCAGTGACCATGAAAGCGACACACTGACTGTCGGTGAGTCTTGGAAAAGAGTGTCACATTCAGCCCCAGTGCTGACATTGCTGTATCTTTGACCTTAGACAACTGCCTTAAGCTTGTGCCCCTGTGTAGCTACGGTCTTAGCACAGTTTTAAATTCACAGACATGGTATTTTTAAACCCATGAATATTGGAATATTTTTCTTCAGTGAGCCATTTTGGGTTCAAGCTGTCCTGAGATTTAATAATCAAACATTATATAGTTGCTAGGCCTGTTAGCAATATGTCTGTCCAGAGATGTCCCATTTTCCTTCCTGTCCTTTCAGAAAGGTTTTTCAGGCTCTCTTTTTTCCACATAATGAGCAGTAACACGATGAACACCATCTTTTCTTTTTGGTTCTTCTAGATGTCTCTGCAATTTCAAATCTCATTACAAAACATGTTCCTGAGGCCAGGCTGGTGGAGGACATCGGCCATGAATTAACCTATGTCTTGCCATATAAGGCTGCTAAAGAGGGAGCTTTTGTGGAGCTGTTCCATGAAATTGATGACCGTCTCTCTGATCTTGGCATTTCCAGCTATGGCATCTCTGAAACCACCCTGGAGGAGGTGAGTGACCTAAAGATTCTCTTTTGACTTAAACTAGGCAGAATCATAGAATGGCTTGGGTTGGAAGGGACCTTTAAAGGTCATCTAGTCCAATCCTCCTGCAGTGAGCAGGGACACCTTCAACTAGATCATGTTGCTCAGAGCCCTGTCCAGCCTGACCTTGAATGTTTCCAAGGATGGGTAAACATCCTTGGAAACCTCTATACCACCTCTATAGGCAACTTGTTCCAGTGTTTCACCACCCTCACTGTAAAATCTTCTTCCAAATAACTAGTCTAAATCTCCTTTCTTTTAGCTTAAAACCATTACCC